ATCCTTGGATCATGTAGCTTGCTGGGAGCGATACCTCCCATCCGCCTCCACTTTCCGTGGGTGGCCGCGGGTGTGTGGACTGTCGCAACATCCGATTGCGTCTCATCGCCATTTTTGACTTAGTAATCCCTTGCACATTTTAAACAGCAAGCGGTTTTACTTATTTCATTTAATTTTCAGCTCCCGCCCGAACACTCCCCGGTTTCTAGCTTGAACCTTCCGTTTCTTTCCTTGATTTTTTTTATTGGTCCGTCCCTACGTCCATCGGCTCATACAATCGGTACAGATCATCCATGTACACCATCCCTTGACTTATCTCCCGTCGGATGACACCCCACAGGACCTCACTTCCCACGACTGGAGCCCTCGGCCTGGTGCTAAACACGGCACGCAGGATGCGCAACATCTCATACTTCTGCTCTCCACTGAACGGGCCCATTTCTAGGAAGGCCCGATAGTATTCTCGATGTACCACTGCCTCTTCGTATGTCAAGCTTGCGAGGTCGGCTACCGCTCGTCTAACGAGTCCCAGACCGCCCAACCTTTCCAGTGGGAAGGGCGGCAGCCTCATTCTTATATTTTCACTAGGCAATTCAAAACTCCCGACCATGGCTACCCTAAGGTCCGCTGTTACATCGTCAACCCCCGGATCTGCAAATTCAAACCCCGCTCGCCATACTAACTGCCATGCTCCTTCAAACATGCTCAACGGGTCTTCTCCTGATGCCAACCGAACTCCGAACTCCCTCCACCCATCCTCTGACACATACAGCCGCCCTTCTGCACGCACATGCCCCCGCGGGTCCAGGTTCCATTCCCCATTCTCATCCGCACGCCACTCAACTCTCGTCACCAAGTAGACCATATTTTTCGCAAGCTCGACCCCGACCCAATCTGCCACCTGGTGCGAGCCGTCACTTGTCGCCGACAAGCTAACCTCTACCCCACCCGGTACTTCCCTAGGCGGTTCAATGCCCAACGGGGCGTTCCTCGAGGAACGTCCTTCTTCGCGCTATGACGCACTAGCCTTTGATCTCCTGGCTCGCAATCCGCACTGAACCCTACAATGGCCAGGCATCCCATTCCCTTGTCTTAGCAATTTCCCCCCCTATTTGCCTGGCCCACGGCTTTCCTGCGTTTAGTCGAACCACAGTACTTCGAACAGTTTGAACACACCATCCACATAGCAAGGTGTTGCCGCTACCTCACGGCGGATTATGGCCTCCATAGTTTCCGGGGCCACCTCCTGTTGGTCATTCCTTTCGATATCCAGAATGATAAGGACCTCCCGGGCTCTATCGCCATGGAAGGGCCTGTATTTCAAGAACGTCCTATAGAATTCCCCCGCCAGCCATGCGCAGTTTACGTGTGTTCGCTCCATTGCGTCGGCTACCTCTGTTCCGTGGTCAAAACCCCCAAACCAATCCGCCACGAATTCGGACACCCAAGTCTTGATTCGGGCGCCAGGCGGCTTAAATTATTTCCATCCTCCCATCACGACTCTACTGCTGACCGTATCCCATCCTTTGTTAGCAAAACTTTCCCCCGCCTGCCGAGCCCTTGCCTCAGCGTCCCCTAAAAGCCACATCGGGTTCTGTCCTGCCGCAAGCGTCGTGCAGAACAGGTGCCAACCTTGTTCAGAGAGAACGATCATCCCGACTGATTCCACCCTTCCTTCCGCAATCTCTTCCCATCCTTCCTCCTCCCTTAACGGGTTCCAGACACGCTCTATCCATAGGTACGATAGCTCCGGCACAATCTCATACCCCTGCCAATCACATGTGGTCCCTTTCCATTCATTGCTCGGCGGTATTGACATCTCTACTCCCCTTCCGACTCGTCTTGGTTCCCAGGTGCAGTCCCACAACTCGAGTTCCCGGACCATCGTCCCCTACCTGCACATAGTTGACAACCCGTTTTCCCCAGGTAAGCCCCCCCCTCAGAAGTCATAGTCCTCACTGAAATCCTCCTCCTCGTCTAGGAACATCTCTTTCACCCTTCTAAGAAGGTTTCCCCCGCCGCCATGTTTCGGTAAACTATCTGCCAATACACCAGACTAGGAACAACGACTTCGTCCGCGCTGAGGAGGTTTAACACCTCAGCTAATTCTTCCGCCCAGTTTTCTTCAAACGGTCCTGCTTCCACCGACAGTTTAAAGAAGTCTTGTCTAGCACATTGGTACAGCCTCAGGCGTGTCATTGATTGGCATATACGTTCCAGTCTATCCCTGGTCCCAAAGACTGCATCCACCAGAAACGGGGGCAGCACGCACCTCATCGTC